CCCCCCCCGCCTTTGAGTAGAGAGTTTCTGATTAATTAGCCTTGGGCCTGGCAGTAGGATGAGATCTTTCATGTGGATTCAGGCCCTTCAAATAAAAGGGCTCGGATGCTCTTTCTTGCAGGCTCAGGGAAGACCTCCGTATTACACACCTAACCAGTTAGCACAGATGAGGCCTAATCCACGCTGGCAGCAAGGTGGGAGACCTCAAGGTAGGTGGTGGGGAACGGTGACTTGGTCACCCAGGATAAACCTATTCTGGTCTCCCCGCCTCTCCTCCTTGCCCCCTCTGAGGCACAGCCTAGGTTGTGGTCCATATGCTTGATTAGTGATGCACAAGTTTTTGTCTTCACCAGGCTTCCAAGGAATGCCAAGTGCTATACGCCAGTCTGGGCCTCGTCCAGCTCTTCGCCATCTGGCTCCAACTGGTAATGCTCCGGCCTCTCGTGGCCTCCCTACTACTGCTCAGAGAGTCGGTGAGCAAACTGGCCTTGAGAAGCGTGGCCTGGGGAGGAGGGAGTCAGGTTGACTAGCTTCTGCCTAGAGTTGGTCACTTCGTTGGGCTCATGTTCCAGTTCTGGTTCTGTAATCTTAGCTGTGTGCTCTGGTTGGTACTTAAAGAGCAGAGAAACCATGGGAGTTCTAGGGCTATGTCGGTGACTTAAGATTTTTTTGCTCATTGGTGACTCATGTGAAAAAGGTTAATTATAGATGCTTGTTAGCTGGATGACTACAGAGGCAGCCTATTCTTTCGGGTGGGGTTGGGAGATTGAAGGAAACTGTTGTTTACAGAATGTGTCCTGTATTCCAAGAGGCGGGAAGAGTTGTATGTTATCTGTTGGCTGTTCCTCGAAAGTAGCAGTAGTGGCTCCACATGTGATGTGTTGTGTGAACATGCTTTGGAATTGCTCCTTCCGTGGGACGTGGCCAGTTGGACCTCTGCTGCCGACACTGATGTGCATTTGCTGGTCTGTTGTAGGGTCTGAGTGCCCGGACCGCTTGGCTATGGACTTTGGTGGGGCTGGTGCCGCCCAGCAAGGGCTGACTGACAGCTGCCAGTCTGGAGGTGGTATTGGATGCACACAGAATGGGGAAAGATGGGATTTGACGGGTCTTTGCCCAGACTGATTGGCTTTAATTGTACTTATTCTTTTCCTAAGGTGTTCCCACAGCTGTGCAGACCTTAGCACCTCGTGCTGCTGTTGCTGCTGCTGCTCCTCGGGCTGTTGCACCTTATAAATACGCTTCCAGTGTCCGCAGCCCTCACCCTGCCATCCAGCCTCTGCAGGTGAGGTCTACCAAACGGAATGCTGAAAGGATCTGCCCTGTTTGCATTTGATTGAAAAGATGTCTTTGCTTTGATTTCTTCAACAGCCATTAATGCCTGCTCTGTGTCAGGGTGTTGTGTTTTCTATGATGACGCTGCCTTTTAGGGCTTTCTTTACTGTGAGGGAAAGGGGCTGGAAAGCCTTCCCCCCATAATAATTTACTTAGAAATGCCCCAGCCTCAGAAACAGCTGGTGCTTCTGCCTTCCTTTTTACAACATGTGTGCTCGCTTAGCTCTTTGAGCTTCTCATTTCCACTGGCTGAGTTGATGCTTAGCCTCTCTGTAAGATTGGTACATTAAGGCAGTAAAGAACTTCATTTTACAGATGAGACATTCAGTTTCAGAGATGTTAAGTTGGGGTTGGGGGATTAGACCCAGAACTCAGTAGTAATTTGCTTAGAGGAGCCACACTTAACACTTAGCCTTGTGACCCCTGAGTTGCCTGCTCCTACTTCATGCTCTCTAAATTGGAGATGCCTCAGAACTTTGCTTATGTAGCTTTTGCCTACAGGGCCCTACTTTTAGAGTTGTGACTGGTGTTGACAGTGTATGTTGGTAGTCCTTAAGCATTTGATAGAATAAAAACATTTGATATGGGGTGCCTGGGTGGCTCAGTCGGTTAAGTGTCCGACTTCGGCTCACGTCACAATCTCACGGTTCGTGGGTTTAAGCTCCACATCAGGCTGTCTGCTGTCAGCACAGAGCCTGCTTTGGATCCCCTCTCTCTGCCCCTTTCCTGATCACTCACATGTGCCCTCCCTTCCTTCCCCCCCCTCCAAAGAAATAAGTAAACATTAAAAACATTTGGTATAATAAAGTGATGTGGGATATAATTATAAATGGAATCACTTGATAATTGTTGAGCCTTGTAGGTTTATTTTCTTATTTCTTTTCTCTTCTAATAGCATGCTGTTTCCTTTTTTTTGTTTTGTTTTGTTTACTTTTGGGAGAGAGAGCACAAGCAGGGGAGGGACAGAGAGAGAGGGAGACACAGAATCCAAAACAAGCTCCAGGCTCTGAACTGTCAGCAAAGAGCCTGACACGGGGCTCAAACCCATGAACTGTGAGATTGTGACCTGAGCTTAAGTCAGACACTTAACCGTCAGGTGCCCTGCATGCTGTTTTCATTGTAGTTGGTTTTTGTTTATGCTGTGTACCCCTCTGTTGCTCATGTAACCCCTTCCTCCCCAAGACCGTGATTAGTTCCTTGGCAGCAAGGACACCCACCTCTCTCTCTTTCACATAGTAGGCTTTGAGAGCGAATGGTCAGGCTCATGACCATCAAATGTCCTTTCCTTGATGCTAACCTTCTGCCTCTCCTGATTCCCAGGCACCCCAGCCTGCGGTCCATGTGCAGGGGCAGGAGCCCTTGACCGCCTCCATGTTGGCTGCAGCACCCCCCCAGGAACAGAAGCAGATGTTGGGTGAGTGACCCATGTGTTGGCAGAAGAGGGAGCCAGAACCTGGTACTAACCTGGATACCCGTGTCCATTCTTTACTGAGATTCAACCTGGTTTTTAATTAAATATTCTTCCCCCAGGAGAACGTTTGTTCCCACTCATCCAAACCATGCATTCAAACCTGGCTGGAAAAATCACAGGAATGCTGCTGGAGATTGACAACTCTGAGCTGCTGCACATGCTGGAGTCCCCTGAGTCTCTCCGCTCCAAGGTGAGCTGGTTTCTAGACCCTTCGGCTTTCACTTGCTCCGCCTGGGAGGACGAGGGGTGGCCTTGGCATCCTGGTTCAGCAGAGAGACGGAAGGCTGCTTGTGGGGTGGGTATTGGGAAGAGCAGGCAGCACCAGGAGACCCTACTACTGGATCTGGGCACCAGGGAGGGGTGGAGGGCCTCTCCTCAGATGTCACTGACCACCTGGAGATTCCTCACAGGTGGATGAAGCTGTGGCGGTTCTACAGGCTCATCATGCCAAGAAAGAAGCTGCCCAGAAGGTGGGCGCTGTTGCTGCTGCTACCTCTTAGACAAGGAAAAACCGTATGTTTGGCTGTTTTTGTTTTTTGCAATGGTTTTGACTTGTGAAGATCTTCCTAAAAGATTAGGGGCAGCATATAGAGCCATGTTTCTGCTATTTAACCTGATAACTTGGTCAGGCTGTCACCCGAGTATTTCCTATAATCTGAAGGAGTTAATTTGGAGAAAAGAGAGAACAGGTTGTAAATTATAAGGAGCAAACAGGGCAGTTTTCTCCATAAGGAGCACCTGGTTAGATCTTTTTCAAGAATGACTTTTTTTGTTTAGATGGATATACAAGGTGTTGTCATAATCTGATCCCACAGCCTCATTTCTATGAACATCTCCCTGGTTTGGCTTAAGGTTGGTGAGGTGAGCTTGCGTGTGAAGCCACTGCTTAGCTCTGAAAACACAACGGACACAGGCCCTGTGTAAGGTGGGAGAGGCAGACACACCTGACTACAGTTACAGGGTGTGGTTTTAGTCAATTCCTGGACCTGGAGGCCATGGCCCCCATCTGCAGAGTGAGTGAAGCTTAACTAGGACCTCTGACAGGGACTGGTGGGTGCCTCTCCTGGTGGAGGAAGGAGAGAACCAAATAGGCAGAGGCAAGGGAAAAGGGCATATGGTAAAGGCCTGAACACTTTTCATTGGGGATTTAAGCAAGTGAACCATCACTTTGGGTACAGGATGGCCAGGAAGGGTGCGGGGTGGGGCTGTATAGTAAGTACATAGCCTCAAAGTGGGTGACTCTGAGTCAGGGGTGCCTCTTTGAGAGGACATTTGCCAACGGAGACCTATTTTGGTTGTCATACCTGGAGATGTGTTACTCACATCTAGTGGGTAGAGGCTAGGGATGCTGCTAAAACATCCTGCAATGCACAGGACAGTCCCAACACAATCGTCCATCCCACATGTCCGTAAGCACCGCTTTCTACAATACCTTCTATAAAGCCAGAGATTTCAGTGAATCTCTGCGCTTTTTCTGATTATGTATTTATTTGTGTTGGTGCTTTTCTTTTCAGGATTCAAAAGCCAAATAACCCCTCCTGGAATTCAGCTCAAGGTTTGAAGATTTCTAGCGTGTCCTATGGACCTCAACACCAGGAACCACAAATTGGAAATTTAATAGGTCATTTTGTATCAAAAGGTCAATTATGAAGCACCTAGAATTTTTCAATTAAAAGAATATATTCTCTGGGTTCTGCTATGGCCCAGACAGTGTTAACTTTTTTTTTCTATTGTGGGTTTTGATTTTTTTCCCCCAGAAATTGGTTTTATTTGATGTACCCAAGTCTTAAGTTTCTCAATAAAGAAAAAAATCTCCATAAAACTGCCTGTCCTGTTTCACTCTGACCAGTTTTACCCTGTTAAATTCAGTTATCACTGGAAGTAACTTTTAGTATGTATAGCCTATCATCCTTTCCTGATGGTTATAAACAGACTATTTTGAGCTAGCCAGGTATACAGAACTGTCCCGTTGCATTGTTGTGGGAGGAGTTTTATAATGGACCTCCATTTAACTTACAGGGAACAGAAGTTTGGCATGGGAGAATTGGGTACAGGTTGGGGTTGGCACATGAATGAAGGCTGTATGGGGAGATCAGCAGAACCCGGCCCCTCCCTCCTTGGATGTGTTAGCTGGGGTTTGTGGGTCCCCTTTCCTACATTCGGTTGATTATGCAGCTAAGATTTCCTCTGGCACTGGGAAAAGGCTTGGTGGCTAGGTCTGAGTGGCAACAGCAAGCAAGTGCTGGAGTCCTAAGTGTGTTGTGGTTCCTTTAGTCCTCAATTCTCACCCGGCCAAGGTCAACCAGTCTACTTGCCCTCACTGTCCTCCAGGAACACTTTCTCCTTTTCCTTGAAACCTGGCAGGCTGTCTTTTCTCAGGGCCTTACCCAAGGTATCATTTTGCTTGGAATATTCTTCTTAGCAGGCTCCCCATTTTCTTGAAGGTCTGGTTTCACTTTAAATAACTAAGGCCTGATCTGCACAGCAAAGGAAATAAGAAAACTAGGACAATCTGAATGGGAGAAGATGTTTGTAAATGACATCTAAAAAAGGCTTAGGATTCAAAATATATAAAGAACTACAACTTGGGGCACCTGGGTGGCTCAGTCAGTAAAGCATGCAACTCTTTAACTTAGGGTCATGAGTTTGAGCCCCACGTTGGGCATAGAGCCTACTTAAAAACACAAGAAGTGTTGGCAAGGATGTGAAGTAGGAACCCTTAATGCACTGTGAGTGGTAACCCAGCCACTATGGAAGACAGTAAGGAGGTTCCTCAAAAGTAAAAATAGAACTGCCCTATGATCCAGTAATCACACTACTGGGTGTTTACCCAAGAGTAGGAAAATACTAATTCAAAGGGATACACGTACCTTTATGTTTATTGCAACATTATTAAAATAGCCAAATATGGAAGCCCAAGTGTCCATCAACAAATGTACGACTGAAGATGTCGTGTATATATACAATGCAATATTATTCAGCCATAAGAGAAGGAAATCTGGCTGTCTGCAACAACATGGATGGAACTAGAGTATAATGCTAAGCAAAATAAGCCAGAGAAAGACAAATATCCTAGGATTTCACTCACATACGGAATTTAAGAAACAACAAAGACCAATAAAGAGGTAAACCAAAAACAGACTAACTATAGAGAACAATCTGGTTACCAGAGGGGAGATGGGTGGAAGGATGAGTGAAACGGGTGAAGGGGATCAAGGTTACATTTATCTTGAGCACACAGCAATATTTGGAATTATTGAATCACTATATTTTACATTTGAGACGAATATAACACTTATGTTACACTGGCATTAAAATAATTAGAAACAAAGGCCGGATCTAAAGTAGATTCTTCTATTTCTTGACTTCCCCAGTTAATGCCGCTATGTATTGTGATCTCTATTCTGAGTGCCCTCCAAACATCCGCCGCAGGCCACTGGCCAGGAGCACAGCGGCTGCGCCAGCGAGCGAGAGGTCGGGTCCGGGGGCGGGGCCTGGTTTCGGCTTCCGGCGGAAGAGCCAGGGAGCAAGATGGCTCCCGCAAGACCGTGTTGTTCGTTGCCGAGCTAGCGTGGGTTTCTCTTGTGGCTCTGCCCCCTCAGCCTGTGAGCAGCGCCCGCGACTTGACGGCTCTGCTGGTCCTGGCGCTGCCCAGAGCCCTTTCCCTCTATGATCTTGGTCTCGGAGAGTTGGTAAGATCTGTTATTGTGACCTCAGACCGCATTCCAAACTCTCAAGCCCATTCATTCCATAAACTCCGCAGCCCTGACCCCTTAGAGGAAGGAATTCACCGAATAGTTGGGGAGTTTTGGGAACAGCCTTACTGCGCGGGCTGGCAAGCCTCATGATGTGACCATAAAATAGACAATGTTGATGAGGGTCGAGCTGAGGGCTTTGGGGAATGAACACTCACTCTATCAGGAGAGGTGAGGGCAAACTTTCTGAAGCGCAGAGGCCAAAGCTGGGTTTGAAAGATCATGAGTAAAGCTGTGGCCTGAGTGGAGAGCAGCAAGAAAAGAGCCCGGAGAGGTGAAGTAGTCCAACATCTGGGACTTGCGTTCAGGGAGGAAGGCTAGATAGGTCGGCAAGGCTCAGACCTTAGGAAGGTCTTATTATATGCGTGTCAAGGAATTTGGGCTCCGTCCTGTGGGCGTTGGTGAGCTTTTGGAGACTATTAAGCTAAGCTGGATAGTGATGTGATCCGATTTGCACTTTCTTGGAATCATTCTAGTAACTATTGAAGAGATTGTGAAACTGGAGGCAGTGAACCTAACACAGTAACCGAGGGCTAGATGTAAGTCTGAAGGGGGATAGGGGAATAGTGTACCTCACCGGTCATTTTGTATACCTAAAAGACTGGGGACTCCTTCTCCCTGTGGCTGTCTTGCTAACAGAGCATCTGTACCAAGAGTATGGAGGGCACTGGTTCAGAAGGCACTTCCTCTTTGCTGGTGGGCTGGCAGAGGAGGTAGACAACAAAGTTCTTCGTGTTACTTTTATTTCTGTTTGGAGACATCATGGATAATTAGTTTTCCCTGGATTATGAAACAGGTGAGTTCTTTCAATGTCTCTCTTGTTCAGATTCCTAATGTCAGGAAAAGAATTTGAGAAGAATTTTAAGTCATGTGCATTGTTTACGGTTGATATGTAATGAAGTTCAGGAGGATGTCTCTCTAGGTCAACGTGACTATGATCTTGGTGATGGAAAAGGAATGTTCCAAGGACAACAAGGCCAGGATGCTGGTGTGGCTATGGGCTGAAATTTGGATTGACAGTTTGTTGGATTTGAAGAAAGGCTTTCTCCACATTGGAACCATTTGGGGGCTTTGATATTTGATCATTTAATATATAAACTGTATAGTAAGATTCAGTAGGAAGCTAGTTTTAGAAAAATCTTGAAAGGTCTGAGTAATGTTTCACACCCCCATGCTGGGTAGCTATACCCCACCACACCTGCTGCCCAGACCTCCCTTATTGGCCGTTGTGATTTTATTTTATTTTATTTTTTTTATTTTTATTTATTTATTTATTTATTTATTTTTTAATTTTTTTTTTCAAAGTTTATTTATTTTTGGGACAGAGAGAGACAGAGCATGAACGGGGGAGGGGCAGAGAGAGAGGGAGACACAGAATCGGAAACAGGCTCCAGGCTCTGAGGCATCAGCCCAGAGCCCGACGCGGGGCTCGAACTCACGGACCGCGAGATCGTGACCTGGCTGAAGTCGGACGCTTAACCGACTGCGCCACCCAGGCGCCCCCCGTTGTGATTTTAAATAGCAGCAGGCAGCAGGAAAGTTCAGCTGCAACAGTGGCAGGGCCTTGGACTCTGCTCATCTGGGGGAGTTTCCCTTAAATTGGTATCGTCGTTATGGTGCATATTTCTATTTGATCGTTGGTTGTAATTTTCTAAGATAGGAGTTTTAGAACCAGCTGTGCCACTAATTCTGGGTTGATAACTCTCTGAGTTCTTCATTTCTTAAATAAATAGTAAGACTGGCCA